ACTGGCAGCTCCATCCAATTTCCATCGTCTGCACGCCTGTCACCTTTATCCACCCGCAGACAGCCTGTCGCCTAGCACCCAGGAGCCTTGCCCGAGAGGTTGTTATTGTTGACGGGGGGTGGGCCATGGGTTCTCTTACCTAAGGTAGGTAAGGTGAGGTAGAGAGGTTCACTAAAGTTGGGGACCTTACCATACCTAGGTAGGGACCATACCCGGAATTATAGCGAGCTATGCCTGTACTACAGCGGCTGCATCCACTGTGGCCGCTGACTGGCAAGACGCGCTGGGCCAAGCAGATTTGGCCGGTTGCTGGAGAGAGACCTGGCCCGTGCGTGTTTTTGGGCGTGTCCAACTGGGATTAGCGCTGTTGTTCCCCTCCCAAACTCGTCAAGCGCGACTTGGGTCCTGCCATGGGTCCTTGGGTAAGCCTGGGGGGGGCCACGGTCTGGTAAGAGTGGACGACGGGGGGGCCTCTCTTCCCGGTGTTCCCACCACACGCACGCACACACACACACAACACCAACCACTCTCTTGATTAAGAAAGCTCTTTCCTCTGCACATTCACCACACACCTCTCAGGTGCTGCTCTTTCACGACGACTCCGACGACGATACCCTCCCCTCCTCCTTTCTCTTCCGCTTGTGTGGTTTTTTGCAACTTCTACCAGGCTCAAACTCCGTCTTCAATGTCTTGGTGAACTTGTCGACACGGTCTCTGTTGGAACGCGTGAGCGACGTGTAGTAGCCTCCCACGTCGCGTGCTTGTCCACAGAGCAGCAAACCCCCCCCCCGCCTCTCGCAGCCACCACAACCACCACCACCGCAGATACTCACGTTCTGTCTCCTCCTCTGTCTGATTTGCAGCGCCTCCTCCGAACCACTCAGACCCGACCGATAATTTTCAACAGCCTTCTCACATCAAACATATTGATTGGGCATTTTTATGGCAGCCATATCCCTATCACCGAATCCCATCCCTCCTTCGGCCATGTCAACCAGACGAACGCCTTTGTCTAGCAACCCCAATGTGGTCAATTCACCCTTGAGAGCCGCTTCTGCTCTGGCTCACGCCAAACAGAAGCGCTCTCATGCCAACATTCAACGGGAGGAGCTCTACGCCCAGCCACCCCCGTTCAAGAAGCAGGTTGTCGAAAATGTCGGCTCGCGTCAGCTTCGGTCGCCCTCGAAGGTCACAAAGGCTTCCCAGCTTCCCCAGCGGGTCGGCCGCCCTATAACAAAGGAACGATCAACACACCATGACGACTCTAGTAACGTCGAGAGGATCCGTCAATGGCAGGCAGAATACCGTGGGAGGTTTCCCAAGATGGTCTTTTACTTTGATAGTGTTCCGGAAGACCAGAGGGCCAAGCTTGCCCGTCAAGCCCAGTCTCTTGGAGCCGTACGTGCAAAGCTTGCCAGCCATGATGTTGTTGGCTCTTATCCACTGACAACTTCTTGTATAGAGAGACGAAAGGTTCTTCTCCAGTAGCATCACCCACATTGTGACCGCCCGACCGATACCTGCGCAGGAAGACGTGCAAGCTGCTGCACACGATACCGAACTCGAGGAGCAGCCTCAAACTATCAACCCTTCCCTTCTCGACCGGTCTACCGATGCACGGAGACGTCTTCTGCTAGAGACTACCTCGAGGCGAGCTCAGGCTCACGATGACAGAACCCGGAGGACGAGATCAACCCAGAGCAACGATGTTCTTCACAAGGCTCGAGACATGGGAAAGAAGATTTGGTCAGTGGAAAAGTTCCAGAGGATATTGCAGTTCCTGCTGGAGCCTGATCCGCATGTCGTCGCGGCATATGGCGCCAACCGCGATTCTGCGAGAAACGTGGGAACAAAGAAGGCTACGGAGGAGCCCGGTCTGCTGCAGCTGTTGCAGCATGAGCGCCTGAACGGTCCCTCGGATGCTGTCACGAGCCGGGAAATGATCAACTTCAAGGGGCCATATATCTACATCTACGACATCGACGAGAAGCAGAAGCCCATCATGGTGCGGGAGTATCCCAAGGTCAATAACAAGTACCACGGCGAATGGCCGCAGTTCAGGACTGTTACCGAGGGCCGATGCCCATTTGTCGAAGAGCCGGAACCCGTCGAACGGCCCAGTCGGAAACCGTCAACGCAGCAAAAGGATCCAAAGGAACACAAGGAACATGTTGCCAAGCCTGCGGCCGAGGAGAGCCCGTCTCTCCAGCCTCCGGAAGTGCCTGCGCCAAAGGCAGCCGTTGGCAAGCGCTCGCTTTCTGAGATGCAAGAAGGCCAGAACAAGTTGCGGGCTGCCATGAAGCCCATGGATGTGTTCAATCCTCCCAAGGCTGTGGTATCAAACCCGATTGACTTCGGGCGGACTCAACATGCTTTCACTGGACGGACTGGCAATGGGCGTTTCTTGGCCGGCGAACCCGTCGCCTCTGGATTGCAGCCGTCAAATGTGACTTCGGCCATTCGGTCGAACATGATCTCGTCTACCTCTGGCATCAACGGAGCCAAGGCCGGTACGAGTAAGGAGGTGCATGGTTTGCAACGAAAGGTGTTGCAACGGGGTGCCCCGGTTCCCCAGGACGCCAGCTCTCGGCGGCTCACGGAGATGTCTCTGGAAGCGACGTCTACTAGATCTACTAGTGTTTCTCGAACCACCAGCAGGCGTATGGAGCTCATTGAGGAGGATGCCGAGAAGCAGAGCTCCAAGCTCTCAAGAACCAGCTCCAAGACCCAGGCTCCGCCGGCTAAGAGCAAGCGCGACCTGAAGCCGGGCTACTGTGAGAACTGCCAGGACAAATTTAAGGATTTTGACGAGGTATGTGGAGAGTGGGACTTGAATAATAATACTGTCACGCTAACAGCTCGAAGCACATTCTCACACGCAAGCATCGCAAGTTTGCTGAAAACACTGACAACTGGGCCGAGCTGGACGACCTTCTCAGCCAACTGGGCCGGGTTCCCAGATACCGATCTAAACACTCACGCGACGACGAATACACGGACGACTCCTTGTAGACAAGGCCAGCCCACGGACTCCTCGTCATGTCGCTCTACACCTTAACACTGACTCTGCCCTGCTTCCCAATGTTCTTCTCGATCCCCCACTTGCCGTTGCAATGCGCGGCGCATTATCATCAAAAAGCTACGGATACGTTCCACTGTCGTGGAACCAATGATACCAGTAGACTGTCCAACATGAAACCATGTTTGGTTTCCGGTCATGTTTATTTTCTCTTCACTTCGTCTTTCACTAATAGGTCGGCTCGCATTGATATCATTGCATGCACAGTGGCGTTTGGCATGGATTATCTTATACCACGACGGCTCAATTTTCCATTTTCTTTTTTGGCGCGGGCAGGGTGGCCGCATTTTGTCGGCCATCAGCATCATCATTATCACCAAAGGCCGTACATGCGATAGGCGGAGAAACCAGGACGGCGCGTCTTAATGAACCACGGTGTAGATATCCACATTGAACAGTCTATGCTTGTGTATATTGTACGTTGAACACGAAAAGAAAACTGCATGGTTTGGGAAAGTAGGATGCTGCGGGTGTTGTGAAGCAGCCCGAGTGTTTGTGTTATTCAGAACAAGGCGTTGAGGATAATTCAAGCATTTCATATACCCCCCCGTATCCTAGATGAATGTCGTCGTGAATTCCAGGCTTCGATTATGTCACCGCCTCAGTTTGGAGACGAGATCTCAGTGTCAGATCCTTCGAGCATGTAACGAAGTATTAAGTACATCAAATTTCCGGATTCCGGGGGTGCATTGACAGCCACGATCTCGACTTTAAGAAGCTATTGTGCATTCATTCTAGTCTCGTCATGAGAAAGGCGCCGGTCTGTCGAACCAGCCACACCAGCCGTCTTGCAAGCGGCCCGAGCTTGGTCTAGGTGAGGTAGGCAGGTAGGAACAACAAAGGATGACTTGTTACTTTCGAGCAAAGACGATTCCTGAAAGGTTATCGTGTCCGAAATGAGGTGGAGGAAAGAAGAATTCCATAGCAAATGGGGGGTTTGTCATGCGAATTAGGTTTCGACGATGCGCAAGCTACATAGCCTTTGAACCGGACGGCTCGTTTTCCCACGCGTTCGTTTCTCGGTTTGCACGTCAGGCAAAAAGCTTCTATGCATACCATCCCGTCCGCGCTTGCGTAGGTAGGTGTGTGCTGCGTATTCCGCGTGCCGCACCGCGCGCTGCACCGCGCTGCCCCACCATCCCACGGGCCCGCTCAGTGGAGATGACGATTTTGTCCAGCGGGGTCCTCTGTTGCAGGGTCCATAATACGCTTTCAGAAGAAGAAAAGTAACAACTAGTCTCTATGGCTCAGTCGGTAGAGCGTTGGTCTCATATCCATACGTATGACTCTAGAACACCTAGAGATATCCAAAGGTCGCAAGTTCGAGCCTTGCTAGGGACAGTTTCTTTTGCTTTTGGGGTGTTTGAGGTTGAATTTGTGTGAATTTCTTATTTTCTGATAGTTTGATGTGGTGTGTTTGGTTAGAAGGCTATATACATTCATTGTCTTTTTTTTTTTTTTTTACTCATTTGTATCTCGTCTTCTTGAAGCACACCCACCTCGTAAACTCTGACTAACAAATACACACCATACCATAATATACCATATCTGTGTTCTTTTGCAAAACGCATCATTCCAGAGCCAAGAAAAGATAAAAGTCTATGCGCAATCTTGGAATTAATCTTGACATGAGTATTCAATAGTCGAGTCGACGAGGAAGAAGAACGTAGTGGTCGAATGCTTGGGGGTAGCTCTATTTCAACTTGAGTTGAGATTAAGATGGCTCATTGCCACTTTCGAGTGCTGTATTATATTGAAATGCACGCATGAACTATCCGTAAACAACTGGCCACTCATTCCAGTGCTCAGGATTCAGTGTTAAGTCTTCAACAATATTCCATTTCTTTTTGTTTCAACGGAGCCGGGTTTAGCCAATGTCTATTGTATATATAAGCGTGACGAGCCAAAGCCCCCGCGAGACCTACTCCTCCCGCTTCCTCTTCAGTGTTTCTTGTTCTCGCTCATGTACCAGCGACGCTGACAGGTACTGGCCATCAACTAGGGGCTGGCTCGGCATGTTGCGAGCCCACGCTCCGCCGTCACTGATATATCTTTCAATCTCTCCGTCATCGTGAAAAAGACAGGGCAATATTTTCTGGATGACGGAACCCTGGCGGATGGCCTCGTAAATCTTTGAAACGCTGGTGCCAATAGTACTAGACTGTTCTTCTCTAAGGCCCTGGTGAAATTGGACTCCCAATTCCTGGCGCACGAGACTGTGAAGCGCTGCAGAGCCTCGTCCTAGTCCTTCAGGGTGCGTGTGTCTCGAGTCAGGGTTCTTGGACGGGTCGGCGACCCACACTTCCATGGTTTGCCAGAACTCGTCTCGGACAGCCAGGACTTCCATCAACGAGACGGAGCTAGATCCGTCGTGGGCTATCGTATCCACAATGTGGGAGGCGGCTTTCGAGGCAACGATGGAGCAGCGCTGGGTGTGGCTGTACTTGTTTGCTCCGTACCACCACACTCTGACCAGCTCGTCCAAACCAGTGGCCGTTGACGTTGTATCAGTGGTCTGACCGTTGCTCTTGGTGTCCTTATCTGCTACCAACAAGGAAGCCAAGTTCGTCATGGAAGGCGACAAGGACACAGAGGAGAGGAATTTCTCGTGATAGGCTCTCAAGTCAGCCGCCTGGCAGCACACCAGCAGGTGAGCGGCACACATGTGCGATAAGACATCGACGGCCTCCATGGTACGGCGGCCTGAGAGAAATGCGAGGGAGTTGATGCCCTGGTTGTGCATCTCGGCCGACTGGACGTGTGACGAGACGGGATGCGCGAGCGCAGCCAGCTCTGACATGTAGGCACTCATGTTGACGTCGATGCCCTTCATTGTATAGGACTGATCAGGGTCTCCAAAGACCAGGTTCGGGTCGAGGCCGTTGTTCGTGGCCGGGTTGATCAGCTCGGAGCACTGGGAGAAGAGCATTCGCCCGATCATCTGCAACGCCGTTCTGGTCTTGTCCATGGCAGAGGTGATGGCAGTCGCTTGGAAGTTGCCTCCCGAGTACACGTCACCTGCGGCAACATCGCCGCCAACGCCTATGTCGATGACTGGGTTGTCGGACGTTGAGTTGAGCTCGGTCCGGATTTGCCTATATGCCAGTTGAAGGTCCTCGAGGTACGGGCCCATCCACTGTGGCGCGGTTCGTGTCGAGTATCTGTCCTGCCATAGACCTTGGCCCGTCCGTTTCTTACCTTCCAGACCAGTCACATACTTGGAGGACTTGAGGAAGTTGCGAATATTGTTGGCCACTTCTTTCTGTCCGCCGTGAGGTCGAATTCTATGGATGAACTCATTAGTCCACTCGACGTTACCAAGTAGGCACTCGGATGTGAAAGCAGTAAGCCCTTGGGCGAGGACTGCGAGTTGGTTCGCTTCGTGAATTACCAATGTAGCCAATGCAGCAGAGGGTGCAGTCCCGTTGATCAGGCCCAAGCCCTCCTTTGGTTGCAGCTCAACAGGTTGTATGCCATGTTGTTTCAATGCATCGCGGGCAGACATGACTTTTCTGCTGGGGCCTGATCCAATGGTGACGGAAATGTTGGGATCCCCGGTAAGAGTTCCCGCGATGTAAGATAGGGGCATCAAGTCCCCGGATGCCGAAATGGTGCCTCGCAAAGGAATCAACGGCGTGATGTCGTGACGGAGAAGGCTGAGAAGGGTCTCGATAACCTCCAGTCTGACGGCACTATGGCCGCGGAGGTTTTGGTTCGCTCTGATCACGATGGCGGCTTTCACCCAAGCCGTGGGAATGACGTGAGACTGTCCGTCTTGATCAATCTGACTGTCGGTCATGTCAGAGGAGGCGATGATGGCGCTTTGAGTGTGTTGGAGCAGAGAAATTTGTAGTCGCTTGTGCTGTTCCGTCCGTGAGTCGGCGCTGCCGCCGAAGCCCGTGTTGACACCGTACACGACCCAGCCGTTCTCGACATGGTGGTCGAGGACATTGATACTCTGGCTTATTCGATCTCGAATTACTTGGTCATCCTTCACGCGAGGAACGAGTCCGTGACGCGCTACAGCAATGACGGCGGGAACATCGAGATACAAGCCATCTAAGGAAAAGACGAATGCCAAGCTTCCCAAGTTTTTGACATCGCGCGTTTGCTTGCGCACAAGCGTAGCATGTGTTGTTGCCATTTTAGTAGATTTGGACGACCCTGGGGGTGCGGTGAGATCAAGATCTTAAAGGGGGTTCGAAGTTCTGTAGGCAAGGTTAGAAATTGAGTTTTGCTTGGTTCAAGGAATATTTGGGAAAAGAAACAATCCAAAGTGGACAAAATGTGCCTTATAAATAGGCCCATGACCATGATGGCAAGCAACATCTCGTTTGTGATTGTGTGGCGTAGGAATAAGGAAGGTGAGGTGAATCAGAGAAGATTTCTTACGGTTGTGTCACGTTTGCATGCCTCTAAGGCATCAAGCAAGCTTAGAGAAGAAGTGAATTGCTATAAGTAGCCCGACTACGTGTTAGCTCTCCGCGGCAGAATGCGTGGTTGCGAATCACTCGTTGGCTCGAGTGTTGCTCACGGCATATTGTGCTCTCTGTAAGGTAATGAGCGTGGCTTATGCGGTGAGACTGAATTCCGTCTTTCTCCTAGGTACGGTACTCGGCGATCATGGCGCATGCATGATGCCAGATAGCCTATTTTCCAAACTTTTTGGTTTACGAGATTATCGAGTGTTGTGCTCTTGACCATAGTCGGTTGTAGCATCGTGGGTCCATGATGAAGAGATGGTTTGAAATTTGTCTAGACAGTTGTTGGATATGAAATTGATAGTGGGTGTGTAGTTGTGTCTGGAGAATAGAAGGTTCTTGAGGTGCTTGGTGCCTAGTAAGTCCGCCCGGGGCGCACTCAGGCAGTAGGTAACCACTCACGGGCCCCAGTCAACCACCTGCCAAACCTAGCACACAATATGTGGCCAGTCTCACTCTTTCATCTCCAACCTCAACTTTCTTCCTTTACTTTCTATTCATCCGAACAATCTCCATCTGATGACTCGGCTAGCTCGACACCGCTCTCGACTTTTATCCTTCTCATTTTAACCCTTCTTCGAACACGCATCTGCGGTGGACAGTAACGCAGTATCCGAAAATGGCCACTCCATCGTCGCCTGGCATCCCGAGGTCAGACTCGGCGTCACCTCCACCTGCCACCATCCCGGATCGTCCTGCCTCTCCGGAAGTGCCACTCACCATGTCCGCCTCAGCCATCCTGATAGCTCAACCTCGCGATGTGGCTTCTGCTCTGAGCAGCGCAGGCGAGTATCCTTCAGACAAGGTCGTCGTCAAATTCAAGGCTGTCGGAAGTGCACCCTCGCTCGCTCGAGGGGTGGCCAAGATCTCGTCTACCCAGACATTCCACACTGTCATCTGGTATCTGCGCAAGAGACTCAAGCTTCAAGAAACAGACAGCGTCTTTTGTTACGTCAATGACTCTTTCGCCCCCTCCCTCGACGAGATTGTCGGTAACTTGCATAGTGTACGTCAATGCAGCAATTATTACTAATGGCAGATGCAAATGCTAACATGCTTACGACAGTGCTTCAAAGATTCAAGCGGCCAGCTTGTGATTTCTTATGCTATGAATCCAGCCTTCGGCTGAGATTAAGTATGCTATCAAATGGTATCCCATGGCTGAAAAACGATGAAAATGCCACCGCCCTTTAGACTCCCAAACACCGGTAATGCAGCACGAAAGTGACGCAAAGCAATGATCTATTACCCACCGAACGCGGTCAACTCCTCACAACTTTCCAAGAGCGCTGGTAAATTCGTCAAGCGCCTCCTTGGAAATGGGATAGGTGTGCTCGGGTGCAGGATACTGTCGGCTCTTCACCTCGTCTCGATAGGTCTCGATAGCACGAAGACTCTCGCTCCAGACATCACCGTACTTCTTGACGAACTTTGGCAGGAATCGGCCGGGAGGGAAGTTTCCGGTCATGTCGACCTGCACCAAGACCTGGCCGGAGCAGCCATTACCGGCGCCGATGCCAATGGTTGGGACAGAGAGCTTTTCCGTGACAAGTGCTGCGACTTCAGCGGGAACAGCCTCGATGACCATGGCGAAAGCACCGGCCTCTTGTACGGCGAGTGCATCCTCAAGGAGCCTCAGAGCCCCGTCGGAAGTCTTGCCTTGCACTCTGAAGCCGCCAAGAGCGTTCTGCCGTTGCGGTGTCAGTCCCACGTGCGCGAGAACGGGGATGCCCGCGGACGTGATCTTCTGGATTGTGGGGGCCATCTCCTTGCCACCCTCGAGCTTCACGCCTTGCACGCGACCCTCTTTGACGAAGCGGATGGCAGTTTCCAGAGCTTGTTCCGGAGCTATTTCATAGCTGCCCATGGGCAAATCACCCACCTGAGTTTGGATCAGTACGATATTTGCAGCTTAGATCCAGAGTAGACTTACAGTAAATGCGGACTTGGTGGCTCTTGCGACAGAACGGCAATGGAGCAGCATTTCTTCTACCACAACTTCGCTCGTGTCTTCCATACCAAGCGCAACCATGGCCAAGCTGTCCCCTACAAGGATGATATCCATGCCAGCATGGTCGGCAACATGGGCACTGGGGAAGTCGTGCGCAGTCATTACTGTGATTGGCTCGCGCTTCTTGTACAGACTGCGCAAGGAACCCAGTGTGACTTTCTTTCTTTGGTTTGCAGAAGTTGTACCCATGGGAGAATGCGAGCTGTGTCGCATTTGCAATGGTTGCATAACAGCGGGATACATGGGTCGCATCAGAGACGCTGCTGTCGAGGGTCGCGTGCTTCTCAGTAGAGAAGGACACGACCTCAGACAGGTACTTCGGATTGTAGGGAGAGACATATGAGCAGCTAAGTACCTTTTTGTCTCTAATAAGAAGTAAACGTATGAATGGAATATGCAAGTGCAGAAAAAAAGAGAATGCAAGAATGCAAATCTGATCGTGTTGAGTTGACGCTGATGTTGTCTGTGTGGAGAAGAGAAGATTAAGAAAAGTTTGCGTTGAAGGGCGAAGCGCAATCTTTTATTATCCAAGTCATGATGGTTTTTGCTGCGTAGAATTGAGTATCTCCAAAAAATTACCGGTGGTGTTTCGTTCCCGCCGCTTCTCTGGGCTGGGGGTTAGAGATGAGAAAAGCGGGCCAATCTCATGAAGCTGACCACACAGGTGCCGTGCTGGACGCTTCGCTGGGAAAGTCCCCCCAAAGGTCCAAGGAACGGTGTCCGGTCCACCTGCGACCAACCTCCGTGATTGGACAAGGCGCCGAGGCACGTTCGGTGGCACCTACCAGAGAGGTCCATTGCGACCTCAACGATACGTATCTTTTTGTTCTGGGAAGGGATTAGTGAGCTGTGCTGCGTTCTATTGTCCATCGTCCCTAGAGCGCCAGTACAACGCTGATCCTCTTCAGGGCCCGGTGCTGAGGTAAGTGAGCTAAGACCGAGGCAATTTTGCCTCGGGCCCGGCGGTTTCTGATCTCGGCCCTCCGCAAGGACGGGCATTGGGATGTCCAAGGTTTCCCTTGGCCCAGATCGGCTTGGGACAAGCTGACTAGCGAACCCGAAGCTTGGGATGATGGCGCTCGCGTGACTTGACCTTTTGGAGCCTATTCTCGTTGGCTTAGCCTTAGTAATGGTCAACCGACACCGCTTTCACTGGGTATAAGATGGGTCCCCGCATAGCATTAGTGACGGGCAGCTGGTATCACGGATAGACCCCCTACCCATTAGAGAACGGCGTCTCTTTCCTGGCTCGTGACAGCGTACAACCTTGCCCACGACTGCAGTCCATCCGATTCGTACTTGCGTGGAACAATAGGTTATTCCTTGTAGAAATGTCTCAAGGGATCTCGCAAGCAGGCGGTTTCGTTGGACGGAACGGCCCTTATGGTACTGCGCTGTTGTACAGCCCCAAGGACTTACATCATTCTTGCGAACTCTGTTAGTCGGAACTGCCGGTGTCTGTTGGCTGATCTGGCTCTGAACGTCTAAGGTGAGTTGAGTTCAGCTAGAACTAAGAAGTGCTTGTAGCCTCGGGCAAGACTGGATGCCGTTACAGAATCGAGGAAATCGTGGTTGAATTTCAAGAAACTCTTCTTCGAAGGTATCTACGGCTTTGTATGCAGTCTTTCAATACTTGTGGAACGTTTTGCCTCTCCAACATCGACCTTCAGGTTCGACATTGTTCCTCCGAGACGATTAAGGCTTGCATTGTCCCACATTGTCTTAGTCATGTAAGAGCCCAAGGCAGGTGGGCAGTTGGCTCTAACAGACAGTGAGGGAACCTGTGTGGCTGGCAAGATCCGCGCCTAGCCGCCTAATCCTCGGGCCCACCTTTCCTTATCGTTGCACTTATCACTCATGGTCCGGGATCGCCCACATCATCATTGCGCGTGACTTGGCGTCAGGAACCCGATCCGACCTTCTCCTCCTCTCTGTAACTACCCACTGCACTCCTCACGATTCCCAAGACCAACAACAAGCGACATCACGAATAGGAAACCACCTTTTGAAACCCCGCGGCGAGACCTCATATTTAGGGGAACTTCCACGCCAACATCGAACCGTATTCCCCCGCATCCGGCTTACAACAACTATACCCCAGTCGAATAATCGTCTGAACACCCCGCGCGCAACCGACAAGATGAGCAGCCCACGCAGAAGAATCGAGACTGATGTAAGTCTACAATGCCACCAGAGCCTTTGGATGATAACGGTGCAGCAAGCTCACACCTCTGTCTTTTGTCTAGGTCATGAAGTAACGGCACCCCGAGTCACGCCATACCTTTGATAGCCTGCTAACCTGCTGCAGGATGTGCGATTTACCGACCAACCACCTTTTGCTTGGTATACTGACCTTCGTAGGTTGATGAGTGACTATGAGGTTACTCTGGTGAACGACAACAGTATGTTGCCTCCCTAGCCCGTATTCAGAGCTGTTGCCACTAACACCACGTCAAGTGTAAGACTTAGACCCATTCGACGACATACTCGGATCCTAACCCCACCACCCAGGCAAGAGTTCTATGTTAGGTTTAAGGGCCCTACCGAGAGTCAGTCCAACCAATATCCAAGTACCACTTCATTGTGCTTATTCTCTGCAGCTCCATTCGAAGGCGGCGTCTGGAAGGTCCATGTCGAGCTTCCTGACCAGTACCCCTATAAGTCACCGAGTATCGGATTTGTGAATCGCATTTTCCACCCCAATATTGACGAGTTGTGAGTGGAGAACATCCTGCCGAGATGCATATGCACAAACAGGTGGTTTGGCTGGTAATAAAACAGAGCAAGGAGCTGATCTAGGAAAATGCATAGGTCGGGCTCCGTCTGCCTGGATGTCATCAACCAGACTTGGTCGCCCATGTTCGACATGATCAACATCTTCGAGGTCTTCTTGCCTCAGCTTCTCCGATACCCAAACCCGACGGACCCCCTGAATGGCGAGGCGGCTGCCCTGATGATAAGAGAACCCAAGAGCTACGACGCCAAGGTCAAGGGTGCGTTGACGCAATAGAAGGCAGAAAGGGGTCAAAATATCTTGCTAACAAGGGCTCAGAGTACGTCCAAAAGTACGCAAGCAAAGATGCTGCCGACGAAGCCGGTGCCGAGAGCGAAGACGATGACGACATGTCATCCGTTGGCAGCTTCGGCGACGATGACGAGGAACCCGCCGGCCGCCTTGACGATGTATGAAGCGCAGTCGGGAAATTTGAAGGGAACACGGCTAGAGAGAGCATTCATGGAAATGGCGTCGCAGGAGACTTATATCCCCCGGGTTGTGATTGGACTTGGCATTCTGGAACCCTACTCAACGTGGTCCTGCTGAGGGGCACTTAGTGTTCCCTCACCAGCGAACAGCAGCGAGGCCAGGATTCTTCCATATTTGTGTTTAAGGGACTAGGCAAGGGCATTTTTATGGGAATCAGCTTTGGAGTTTTCACATGAGACAATCGCGGATAGGATGGGGGCTTGATTATGATGATGCCCATTGCTCAAGGGGAGAGCTGTTAATGGCCGATGGGGACGACGTGGGCATGCACAGCATACATACCACCCCAGATTGGATTCCAATTTGTTCGATCAACTCGGACCAGTGGCTCTAGGATCTATATCAGATAGTCAGTAACAGTCATGCAAACAGCAACAACTGCCCTGTGTGACTCTAAGTAACTTGTTTTGGATGCATCCTGAGTACAATGCGAGGGCGCATCTTTAGGAGCATGTGCCAAAGTGGGCCTGGCCTATGGTGGATGATGGCTTGGGGGACTTTAGTCAAACCTCATTTTCTGGTCATCACCACTCGGGAAAGCACCCTCGAGTTGATCTATATAAAGAAAAAGCTTCTGTAGTAAAAACCACACTAACGCCAATAATAATAATGTCCGGGGTATCTCTGCTCTGAATCATGTCCGTTAAAACGCCGCACAACCAAATCAGGAAGCGCTCCTCGTGAAATCAAAGTATAGAGGGCTCCCCGTTTCAATCCGAATCGGAATCATAAGCCACGAGCGACTTGGACGATGGTGTGCTCTGCTCGGGCTCCGTGGTCTTCAGCAACTCTTGTTTCTGCTGCACACCAACACCACCACCACCGTCCTCATCACGCTTCCTCTTCAGCCCCGGAATCCTCGGCGCCAATGACCTCTCCGCTGCCTTGGTCTCGACCAGGAACGGATCCCTCGCCATGCGCGTGTTCCCGACAATCTCGGAGACAATGGTGTCCCTCCTCTTGGAAGCGAGGACCTCTGCTTTGGGTGTTCCCTTGGGCAGTAGCGCCGCCTTACCAGTCGCCGTCTTCGTTGTCATCGTCGTCTTTGTAGACTTTCCGTCCTTGGCCGAGGTTGAAGACGGAGGAACAGAAGAGGAAGAAGACGACGCAAAAAGCGGCTTCGCAAAAGCCTTCTGCCCCGCCTCATCAACCCCATCCCCAACACCCCCAAACTCAACCAACCTCGCCCGCCGCGCATCCTCCTCCGTCGCAGGCACAAGCTCGATCCCCAAACTCATCTTATCTTTGAGGGCGTCGCCCACGGCAGCCTCCCGCTCGCGCTGGTGGCGTCCCGCGCGGAACGTCGCGCGAAGCGCCTTGTTGCGCGTATACGGATCATCCCAAGCCCTTTTCGCAGCGTCCTGTAACTCATCTATGCGCTCCGTCGCCTGCGCGAGGTGTTGGCGGTCTTCAATCGTCTTTTCGAGCGAAGCGAATGCGTTGCTACGAAGTTTCTCGCGCTCCTCCTCCGTGAGGATGACCATCTCCCCTTCCTCCGGCACCCTCCCATTGTCCTCGCCTGTATCCCGCTTCTTGGCGCCCGAGACGACGACGTAGGCGGTATTCTTGGGATCGGTGTGGATCTCGATCCAGCCGCCGCAGTCGGCGTGCTTCATGCGGAACTGCCATATCGCCGTCGTAAAATAGGACCCGATGCGTTTCTTCTCGGCGTTGAAGCGGACGCCTTGCCCGATAATGGTCGGTTTCGGGCAGTGGGCGCACCAGATGGCAAAGGGCATCTCGAAGCGGACGACGAGGATGCCGGGCTTGGAGGCGCGGGCGCCGAGGGGGTGTTTGCGGGCGAGGGCGTTGCCTGTTGTCGTGCCTTCGTGTTCGGGCGGGACGTACCGTCCCATGTTGAAGCCTTGCATTTTGGGCGAGGTTGAGGGGGGATTTTCGAGGGGAGAGAGTTTGCGATTGAGGGGGGGGGGGGGGGTTGAGGGAGGAAGAGAGAGGTCGTTGGAGGTTTGGTTGATCGTGTGGGTGTGATCGTGGACGTGGGCGTGGACGTAGACGTGATCGTGAACACTCCGCGGCGACGACGTCTTTTCGTCGGGGTGGTTTTTGGAAAGTCGCGGCGGAGATGGGTTCCGGCGGGACGGGATAGTTCCCACGTTTGTAGGTAGGAAGGTGGTATTTCGGAGGTGGTGGGGGTTCTTGTTGCGCCGCTACCTTGGACTTTTGGCGCCGGGGGGTAGCGGGGCAGAGCGTGATTATGTAATGAGGCCTACCCCAGAAATTCTACAATACCTTTAACCTTTGCGATACCTTCGTTGGCCTCATTTTGACTTCTACGTCAGGATTATATGTCGTATATTCTCAATCACTCTAAATTTTTGTGCCTTATTTTCTGTGAAGAACCAAACAAAATGGCCCCCAATGTGTCGGTCAGCCGTCTCAAGTAGAACCGGCTGCATCATCACGCGACTGCGAAGCTGCACCACCTCACACTCAAAGTGGTGGTCGATATAATCGCAAAACTGGGACACACAGACGCCAATCCGTGATATTGGCCTCTTTTTAGTGTAGATATCTTTGCCCAAGGCCGATGCTTTCCGGCTCTGATTCACAGGAATGCTGGCGACGTAGTTTGTTGCCAGTCGTTAAGGCGAGGCTGATGGCTACCATGTCACCATCGATTGCGTGATTTCGGTTGGATATCTAGATACCTACTTGAGGGCGTTGGTTTCCTCCGTTGGAGACAGCTCATGGAATCTCATGCTTTCTCTCCCCCATCGGCCTTCACCCAATTGATGGAAAGCGGCTCGCGACATTTCATTGCCATTCGTTATCATTGGGCTCTTGCACCTGTCGCTCAAGAGGTGACTAGATGAATCATCGTTTAGCCTAGTCGACTAAACAAGACATCAAGGTATCTTAACGTAGAAGGTAAGCATTCCAGGTGTGTAAGGTAAGCTAAAACCATCGCAAGACATCAAGGTATATGTAATTTCATCAAAAGAGCTCTGCAATCTATGCTAATATGTAAGGCAAGGTATGGATCGCTCAACCTCCACAAAAAAAATCAAAAAAATCCTGCTACGACTTTCTTCCCGCTCAAAGATGATGGATGGTATATATCCCTCCCGAGAGTTTTGCGCCGGCACCGAGTAAATCGCGTTGGGTTCCCCTTCTCGCATCATCGATCCCGACCAAAAAGCAAAAAAGTCCAAAATATCATCAATATCAGGCTGTGAGCGGCAGGCATTACTCTCTTCCCAACTTTCTGACATAGCCTCCGCGAGGCCTGCCGCCCATCAACCAGTGGTATCCTGCAGATCATGATGCAATCCCAAAATTCCTCCAAGCGAAAAGCTCCCTTCTCTTGGATGGCATCTCCCGCTTGAGCGAGTCTTCGTCTCTTCATGCTGTCATTATTTTCTCCTTCACAGCTTCAGCGATGATCCATTCATCGCCTCTGCACTCTGCACTCTTCATTCGGCCAAGCCTGCCATACCCGACGTCGGAGCGAATGTCTCGTACATCTCGTCGTCGCTGCTGTCCACGCTGAGTGGGCTCTGAGCGTTGCTTACGTCGGCACTGGGCAGTCCGCTAAATCCTCCTAGACTCATGGTTGCTGGCGCGCTCTGTCCAAGAGAAAGCAAGCCGTTGTTAGCAAAGCTGCTGCTAATGCTTCCAAGTCCGATATCCACCACGCTTCCGCTGCGGCTCATGGAAGGTTTTTCGGGAAGTTTCTTGAGCAGGCCGGTTGAAATGTCAAGCATCGTCATGGCAAACATTGTTAGACCTTTGCCTTCGCCTGGCTTCGAGCTCACGGATAATGTCCAGCGGTATTCACCCAAGCGCCTGCGGTACCAATCGGCTTCCTCTCGTCCTGGGGATGTCGCCCACAGAAGCGAACCAAATGTTCCGATGAGGGCAAAGTTGGTCTTGGACGCGAAGTACCAGAAGGAGCGAAGGTGAGAGGTAGTCAGGCGGTTGACAAAGTCCATTGCGGAAATCAGCCGAGCCTTGGCCGCGCTTCGGCAAATATGTTGAACATATGAATCGACAGCCGACCCGGTTGCTTCGAGCGAACGAATAATACGGCGATGGAGCGTGATTTCGGCGGCGAAGTAAGCAAGGTGGAGGTATCCGATGCTCGACAATCGACCTGGCGGGGCAGAGATCGACGAATACGTGCTGTCCATGCGAATGGCCGCTGGTAAACTGGCATACCACTCCTTGAGCTTCAATTGGATGGGCTTTGCCATGCCCAGAACCAGATGCGTGCCTTGCCCGCCAGCGTTGGTGACGTTTTGCATGGCCTGCAATGAGTAAAAGGTGTCGAGAATCTCGGCAAGAATCTGCGACAGTTGTACCATTTGACCGAACAATGTGCGACCGCGTTCGATATCCAGCTTCTCCTCCACATCCTTCTCGTCCCACTCGACATCGGGAAAGTCATGATCTGTAAGCGGTTGAACTCCCCAGTTGGTGGAGAAAATGTGCGAGGGCCGCCCATGAACGAGGGAACCCCATTTGTCCTGCATATACAGAGCCCAGGCAAGGCGTTTCCGCAATCCCTTCTCCCAAGGTGGGATCTTCCAGTGCGTACAGTCGAGGTGGAGGCCAAGTTCCTGGGCGGTGGCGACGAGCTGGGCAGTCGGAGCCCATTGATCGCCTTCGGGTCGCTGGGAGAGAAGGAGACCAGCCTGGATGGTGGACAGTTTCGGACGGTAAATTGCGTCGGCAAGAGTTGTCCGGATCATCCGCTCGAGGTTGGGAATGTTTGGTCGAGGGACTTGTGCGAGCTCTTCATCGTGCTCCCACCAGTTGATGGCGAAAAGGTAAACAGCAGCTAGTAGACAAGGCGAAAATTCGCGGTAACTACGCTCGTACTTTTCTAGGAAGACGGTCTTCTGAATAATCGGGAAGGCGGGGTGAACGATGCGGAAGTACAAGTCTACTAGCTTGCGACCATGTGGCCGCACGAGGCCCTCAATCTCCTCGATATCCTCGAGGATATGCTCGTGGCCGGGCGTGTTGGAATCTGGTAGTAGCAGGAACGTGTCATCGTCACTGACCTTGCGCAGAGTGCCGCGCGCCAGTAGACTCTCATCCTGAGGGTTGAAGGGTGAGAGGTTGATGAGAGAAGGCTCAAAGTCGGTCGTCGGGCCTATGTACTGGCTGTAGCGATCATTTTGGAGACCCAGCGTCCGCTTGAGCAGAGTCGGGCCTCCGACATTCGCCATGTCTTCAAGAAAAGAGCTGCTTCCTGTGGTGCTGGAGAGGCTGGGTTGGTGTTGCCTTCGCCTTCTGATATCGGCTCTAGCTGGTGAACTAATGGACCAATCACGTGTCAGAGATTAAGGTTCGTTATCAGACGTGCCCCCCTGACCGCGGCGTGCCCCCATGGCTGCCCAAGAAACATCAAACGGGCGCAAAATGCAAGCTCAAGCGGAAGCGAGCCAGGCTGGCGGGGAGGGAGCAGTAGGGAGATGTACTCGCCAGTGTGGTTAGGGAGAGGAGGGGGGAGGAATAGGCGGGGAGCAGTAGTAATGTGAGAGTGAGTATTGGTAGGAGTAGGTAGGAGAGGGGAGTGAGACTGAAGACATGAGAAGAGGGGAAAATTGAGCAGACTGACCTTCTTTTACCACTGTCGTCAAAGTCACCGTTCAGCTTGCGTTTCCTTGGCTGGGGGCTGTTGAGCAAGGAACAATCAGATCCGCTAGCCTGGCAAGGTATGCAGCTATCTTCGTCTTCGCTCACGATACACTTGACCCTGGACCGTTGGCAGGATTCACATGGGCTGAGTGATCGTGTGGTATATGAGCCAACAGACTCTGCGATTTCCCGTCCAGGCATGCTGCCGCCGCGGAAAAGTTCGAGGTTCGTGAATGCCTCTTGCAGATAAGAGTTCTGGCGGCGGGGAGGCTTTGGTGCAATGGCGATGGGAGCCGTCCTGGTGACGGCACTTGGGTTGGACATGATGGATAGGTGATGCGCGGCAGTAGAGACAATGCTATGTATATACAGGCAGGGCTGGGCCGACGCAGGGGAAGCAGACGGGCGGACGGACCCGGTTCGTCAAGTCGGGGTCCCAGGGCCCTTGTCTGGAGATTGGGGGAATGAAGCGGGCGTGAATTTACTCCTAGGGTTAACCGGAGATATGACAACGGTGATAGGACGATAGGCTTCGCCAAAGGCCAAGGAAGCAGACGGGAGAGGCTGGCACACTCCCCGGGATGGAAGCTGGTTCAACGAGCCCCACGGCGTGCAGCAGATGGGATGGGATGCGAAGCAAGTGATGCAATGTCGCTCGTTGGCTTGATCCTGGTGCTGGTCCTATGTAGGTAGGTCTGGGCCGCCACTCAAGATCGACAGCAGAAGAATAAGAATATCTGTGGTCGAGTTGACGTGAGATTTGAGAATTGTGTGCGTAGCACCAATGCAGGATCCGCCAAATCAGATTGGCTGGCGAGCGGTAATTCGATCTTGACGAATTCCTATGGGTGAGCCTGTGTTGTAACACGAAACAGCAGACGGGCTACCACAGGGCAGGGACTGGACTGATAACGCTACGGTGCGCCGAGGCCGGTTGAGATAAGACGGGCTTGTTGGAAGCCCGGGAGGTGGCAGCAGGCAAAGATCAGGTACGCCAGCAGACGGACAACGGCCGGTAGCGATGGCGAGGTTTGGCGTGAGATGAACGGGGGGCCTGGATGCTTCAAGGCTAGACGAGGTGGAACAAAGACACGAGCAGATTGTGTTCCCAAGAGCTATCTACCTAGCAGGAGACTGATAGGTACCCGTCCGAGTCGTGAGGCGCGTTGTGTCGCGTGCGTGCGAAGGGTACAAGATAAGCCGACAACGGGAATTTGGAACGGGATACTCTGTAAAGGGTAGGCGTTCCAACCTTCCAGAGAATCGAGAACAGGTACTTGTCTAGGTATGTGTTGAGTTTGAGTGGTTCCTCGTCAAGATCTGGGGTGGGATGTAGAAAGTCCGAGGGGGCGCAGTGCGGTGCGGTCGCGGCTTCGAATTTCTTTGGGGAAAGGCAAAGATAAGGTAGTGTGCGCCGCAGGACAGGAGTGGCCAAGGCGGAATGATTTGCGCCCGTTTTTGGTGATGGAAATGTAATGGTGGTTGTACTTTTTTGGGGGGTGCGGATGCAGGGCCGGAATTGGGGCCCGGGACTGGGAAGTAATCCAAACTTGGGATTGGATGGATTGGATGAATGGGGTTTGATGGATCGATATCGGTGGACTCTCAAGTGACGATGGCGGCAAGGATGAGATAAGCCTTGCTTATCGGTGTCATTGGGTACTAGAGGCGGAGGAGAAAAGTATATGTAAGAGAGCAGTGTCCAATGTCTCTAGTGGTAATGGCGCTTCAAGTATCCATTAATGGATGTGCCGGTGCACCAGGACGTCCTTGGTCTTGGATATTCGATCTTATCCCTGGGTTCCTTGGAGAGCGTCTTGTTTGGGGTTGGCCGTTTTTGTTGGAGACGAAGAAATAATTAAATTTTTATGGGGATTGGGTGGCGAGAACGATGGATGGGGTGAGCAGATGAGGAGGAGGAGGGAAGAGGAGAGGGAGGGAGTGAGAGAGAGAGAGGAAGAAGAGGGAAATGAAGAGAGAGGGAAGAGAGAGTAAGAGAGAAGGAAAAGAAAAAGCCAAGGTGGTTAAGGTAAAGAGCACACACTCCAGTCCAGTACTCCTCCGTAAGGTAAAAAGGTAAGGTAAGGCAAGGTATGGATGGATGGATGGATGGATGCGCAAGGGGAAAGAGAAAAAAACCATAGTAAGAAGGAGGAACCTGACAAGATGGGATGTGCAAGTTCCTTTTCCTTCTCCTTCTCTCTTTCTCCTCCCACCTTTACGAATACTCATTCTATTACCGGCCCAACCACGTAAAAAGTGAATAACAGAATGTAGGTGAGAGAGATATGGTACCCAAACACTGACACGGCCAGGGGAGTTCAAATGCCGGGTGAAGGTTTTTTTTTTTTTTTTTTTTTTTTTTTGGTTTCTTCTTGCTCCTTACTGTTCTTTTTTTTACATTGCCGCTGGCCCTCGTACATTGGTTCACTTTCTTTTTTTTTTTTGAAGATCAATCTTTGATCGAGAGTGTTGCGGTTCCTCTCAACCCGCAAGGACAGACAGACAGAGACAGACTAAAACAGAGCGACCCTTGACACAGGATCTGCCGTGAGAGGAGTATAGTCAGGTTTGGGATGGAGCTCCAACCAAGAAGGGTCAAAGTTCCTGACCGCCGGCGGCCTACTGCAAAGATGTCAGGCAGGCCCGGGCAAAGTCTCTTACTCTACCCCTTCACTATGAATGGCACGTCTCGCGTCGGTGGAGGAAGAAGCAGGAGGGTGTATTGGAAGAGGAGGCGCGGCAGTATCTGACTGGCCGGCGGGCGTTGGTCTCAATGGTCCGACTGACGGACCAAGCGGCCGAAAAAGACATCAAGAAAGAATGGTCCAAACCTTGGTTTGATGGAGTATGGGGATCAAGATGGAGACAAGAGCATGGGCAAGGACATGTCGACTGAGATGGGACGGGACGGGATGGCATGGGATGGAATGGGACAGGCATGGCCTCACCCTCCTGGCGTCCTTTTTGCCTCTAACTCTCTGACCGCACCGCAGTGCAGTCCTGGACACTTCTGCAGCCTGGTGCCTGCCTTGCCCTCACCGACACGGAATGATGTGCAAAGCGGCAGCTGTAAATGCAATACCCGAGGAGACAGGCATAGGCATGGCTTGGCATCAAAAAAAGTCTCAATAAGACGAGCAGAGGAAGGAGAGAGAGAGACATAGAGGGAGAGACTTTGTCCGTGTCAGTGACAACTAACATGGGGAACTACCGGCTAACGAACCAAAAGTTAAGAAACAGGGCAAAAGGGAAAAACATAAAGAGAACAGGGTAGGCCCGGGGCTGTGCTTTTCGAACATCCACGCCCAAGGTACGCGGGGGGTGTAAGTGTCGAATCGATTGTTGAACAAAGCCAAGCCAGAAACCGCCCAATTACGAAGGAATGAATTACCTTGCGGCTCGCCGGGAATCGAACGACCAGGCGCGCGTCGATGCGGCGGTCGATAGCAGACAAGAGGGCGCAAAAGGTAAGAAAATGTGGTAAGAGAAATAGACGTCGGGTAAACAAGAGGAAAGTGACCAAGTGATCTATCGCTCAAAGAAGAGACCAGGGCACGGTGAAGCACTTGGAGACGTCAAGGCATGTTAGCCGAATAGGTCTAGCCTCTACGCAGTAGGTCTACCTAGGTGACATGTTGAACGTTTGATAGCGACTACGTTGTGTCGTACCAGGAGCATCAGTGAAGGCCACCGGGGACTTGTATGGGAACCGGGAAGTGTGCTTGAAGGTGCGAGGCTAAAAAGGCCGCCAGGGCCGTTTTCGTTGCATTCCGCGTGAAAAGAAGAAAGGTTGACAATGGAGAATAGGTATGGAGGACTCTCCGACTCACAGACTTTTGGTCATGGTGACTTTGGTGATGGTCACAGTTTGGTGGCCGGATAGGAACTTTGAAGGGGAATTCTCCACAAAAGCACATGGCAAAGTGTGCGACTTGTCGACCCTTTGGCCCTGTCTGGCACGATGACTGGGTCGTCGTTGCTGGGAATGGCATGGGGGAAGGGAAGTGGTGGTGTCGATGGAGGGACGGAAAGATAAAGCACGAGACATTTGGGAGGGGAGATGGGCGCCGCCTTATCTCTGTCCATTCCGGGGCAGGCGTTCTAGAAAGATGCTACGAGACAGAAATACATAATGGCAAATGGGCAAATCACGGCTCATATATTTCACCTCGTCTTTTGGGGCCCTTGGGGTTTCCTCAGCTTCAGCTCCGTCAATCCGTACACTACTCCGTACGCTACTCCGTACCCGTGCCTACATTGCAAGGTAGGAGGGTACATGTATTGTTCCCGAGACTCCGCAACGTCAGGTAAGGTAAAGTAAGGAACTCCAAGGTGGTGGTGGTTGCTGCACGATCCGAGTCGGCGGTACTCGGGCGGAACATGGGGCCCCACCATTGACTACTGCCATTCTGCAGCTCACTCGCCGCTTCTTGCCTCGACCGGCGCTTGTAGCGCAGACGTACATTCCTTCCTGCGTACTCCGTAGATACCTTACTTGTACACTAGGTAGACCTGGAGACTGGAGTGAAGTGCCCTAGACTTCCATTGATGACCCACCCCTTTAGCGAAGTGGCTCCCATTACCTTATAGAAAGTCCGGTACTGCCTGTTTCGAGACTAGCGCGGCAATACCCATAACGTAATTCTCGAATATCGCCGAGTCAGAACTCGACGACCAAGGTCTCTCTGGCCCATCGTCCCAACTTCAACCTCCTCTTCAACCAGCATCTCTCGCGCGCGCAAGCAACGCCCATTCACCACCTAGCTATGCGGCACCGCAGTACTCCCTACAACTGCACGACGCTGACCGCAGCCAAATGTCGAGTCGCATGCAGCCCGACTGCACGCAACCGCACAACCAGCAACACCTCAGGAGACCCGCTGCTCTATCTGGAAGAGGGATCAACCTGCGACACAACATCTACCAGGGGACCACCATCAACAGCATCATCCCTCATCCTAGAATCCAGAAGCTGCTAAGATATGCAGCCCATCATCAAGTTTGAGCGGGCAAAGAAGCGGATGTCCCTCACCTCCCACTCTCCCACTCACCACCAACTCATTAGCTTGCCGTTGTTCGGAACCATCAAATCAAGCCACCACGCCAGCCATCAAGCGGACCAGCCCATGCCATGACACAGATTCAAATTATTACCTACAATTCAACCCACAGCCAAGAGATCGTCCAACGATGACACAAATCGTGGGCTGTCGTATGCCGCCCCGAATCATCGCCGTTCCGCCGTTGCGCTTCAGGGTCCTTTCAACCCGTCCCGCCCCTGTCATGTCACCCTTTCCCCGTTGAGACTCTTTGTCACTGTCTCCATCGATTCCAATCTCCATGCCGTCGGTCTAGACGACGTCTCCTCCCTCCGGCATGCTAGCTAGGCAGGAGGAGTCGATGCGAAGGAGCGTCCACGCCTGTTCCGGTCGCGCCCGATGAGCAAGGAACCTTGCCAGTCCCTGAACTGAAATGCGTCTTCTGTGTCACGGCCCCAACTTCCAAATCGGCATCGAAGAACTTGGATATCCCAACCAAAGACCTCACAACTCACCACTCTCCAAATCAGCCAAAGCCCAGATCTGGTGGGCCGTGGACCAGCCTCAGTTCCTGGTAACGCGGGGTTGCGGGGCAGTTGGTCTCCTGCGAATCATCGTCCCTGTTTCGCTGCTCATCATACTAACCATGCCAATCTCAAATGGACGTCGACTTATCCCACCCTCGGCACGAAAGAAACCACCACTCGAAAAATCAGGGCCAGGAAAACCCACACACCACCATGGCCGAATATCATCTTGGCCTAACCCACAGCATTCGTTCCACGGTCGTCTTGCCACCGCCAGCAGCCGACCAAACTGACACCTCTCAAACCAACTTGCTGCTTGAGAGGGCATCTTTAACGGCAATACCCTGCTCGCCAAATGTCAAAATGCCACGTCGGCTCACCTGCCGAAAAAAAGGCCCCCAAAGGTCCTCGTGCTCTATCATCTTCTGACGTTCTTCGACAAATGACATTGAAACTCAACAACTTAACTGTCTCTTCTTCCTGCCATGTCCTGCGGGAGACCCCCACGAAGCCCTGCATGCCACGGCTTCCGATCGCCTCGCCTCAACAATGAGCAAGCCATAACCCTTCCCGAAAGACACATCCCTCGTGGCTCGTGGGGGGGTAACTTCATGTGTTGTGCGACATCGTGAACGCACACAGGCACCACACCCTTAACCTAGCAGAGCCAAAAACCAAACAGGGGTTCATAGAATCACCCAGCTGCTACTTACGTCATTGAGTTCCTAATCCCGCTAGTCTCACGATGCCAGCCCGGCGGCTCTATCGCTAGCGCTTCCGGTGGCCGTCGGCTCCGACCAGGTATAAATTGAATCGACAACTGCCTATTCGACCCAAGTGGCGAGTCCTGCCCGGTAAAGATATACCCGAAGCCTCTATTTCGGTCCGAGGCCACCATGGAACAGTGACACACTGACACCTCCACGTCCGCAACGGCGCGAATGCATGTGAAACGGCATTTTGGTATATCTATACCTTATTCTCGTGATTTTTCCGCGACCTTCACGACCTACCGCATTCATAGACTCCACATTCTTCACATGTTATGAGCCGAAAAGTCCTCCTACCCTGTGGAGACGGAAACGCAAAGTCGTAGTAGTTCTGTTACTAGAAATTCACACGTTTCCATCTACGCAGTTTTCCTCGAAACAAAAATGCTGGATCGATCGATTGGAAGAGACTGTGTCACGTCTGGGGACTCGCAAGCGCCGGACGAGGCAGCGGCGGCAAACTGGACGAGTTTCACCGCTCTCTCAAAAAGCACCAAAGCCGAACCAAACCGGTCAACTGCAAAGTTCGAGACATGCGTCTAGTTCAACTTGGGAATTCGATTGGTCATTGATTCCTGTGATGCGACGAAGGCAGGCTGGGCATAGTTGCCCGACTCTGCTCTGCCTCGAATGGTCTAGAGCTGTATCGCCCGGCCATTGCAGAGAGGAGAGTGTGGTTTTGGGTGCCTAACCGCCTCCCGCCCTCCACTTTCCGACATCATACTGTGATGGCATACTTGCTGATCATTATAGGTCAGAAAGTCGCGGCCCGACGATCTCGGACTGAGGGAATGACCTTGGGCACGGATGCTGGGCCGTCTTTCCACAATTCTAAGCATAACGGTTCGACATTTTACGTTTCTTATGGATTCATCCGTTCTTTGTACCGGGTGCACTCGTCAGATCATCGCGGTTTAGGCAGACGAAGCCAGCAGTACTTACTGGTCTCGCACGAGTCTTGCGTATTCTCAAGAACCATAAGGGTCTCTTGGTAGATCGTCACTCCCTCCGTCGACGGAGCTCCGTCTGGGAGACTCATGTGAAATCCTCCAATCGTTGCGAAACCCAACCTTTCATAGAACGGCACGGCGTCTGTCGTGCTTTCAAGGAATACCGGGAGCCCCTCAGCTCTGGCGGCCTCGGTAGCGGCATGTACCAGAGCTTTCCCCGCGCCGCGGCCTCGGAAGCGGTAGTCAGTGCACAAGAACGTCAAATCTAGAAAGCCGGGCATCTCCGCCGAGCCCGGGTCCGCCGCCGTCGGTGGTCCCCGGTGCCGGCGGGGAGAGAGCGCCCATGAGATGTCAGCAAAACCAAAATCGGGCCTTTCAACGGTTAATGCCAATGTCATTGGCAAAGTGGACACGGGTAACAGGTGTAACGTGGGAACCGCGATGGGAATAAAAGGGAAAACTGTGGTTCCCGCTGCGGCGCTGTCCCCGCCGTTCCGTGGGGAGATGTCACAGAAATGACATTCTGGAATTCGACAAAGGGTGATGCCGAGGGAGGAGGAAGCCGTCGAGAACTGTCTGGGATCAGCGTTTCTTGGGGGGAGCACCCCGGGGAGGAGAGAGACTCCGAGTCTTTGAGGGTCTTCGCTGTCTGATGCGTTTCCCCACCAGGCAAACCCCCACCGGGGGCAAACACCGACCTCGGAGCCGACTCAGACAGCGCCAGCAAGGAAGTGCGAGGTTTGCGGATAAGGCAAATACGGCACCGGTGCTGCTAACATAGTCGGCGGAAAGCCGGGTACAGGCAACTGGGATGGGGGGAAAATGCCGATACAGGTAGGTGGATGGGAGAATGGACCACACCTCCTCGCGCGACATTTCCCGAAAATTTCACGTAATGGGAAATACCGGGATGGTGGAGTTGTGCGCGTGTGGTTGAAGATGTTGGGCTAAGAACGGCGGTTGAATCATGAATGGAGCGGCAGAAGGGAATGGGGGGAGGGGGACAAAAATAAAGCTGTCAGAGAAAAGAAAGGACCGAAAGGCAGAGTGGACGAGTAATCATATGAAGAGATTGAAAGGCTTGCTCACGGAGAAAAGGCCGTGAGCCCATGGCTTCCCGACGTGCTTTTGATGCGGCGGTCGCGTAGGCGGTGAGGTATTCTCGGTTCGCTGAAGCGGGCCACTCTTCGTCTTCGCTTTCGTCGTCGTTGTTGTTATTGTAGTCCTCTGCTACACATACTTTGGTTCCTCCCCCGACCTCCGCTTTCGATTGTTGATGGTGTTGTTGTTGGTCCTGAGGAGGCCCCTCTTCGCTCCCATCATCCACCACACCCTGCGCTGCTGCCGCCGCCGCCGCCGTCGCTGGCAGCATATTGCCCGGCTCTAAGCGTCGTGAACCGCTGGCAGATGCGGGTGCGGTGGGGGTCTGAATGACATGACTTCGACCTTGACCTTGACCTCGACGTCGGACGATATCCCATTTCACAAAGGAGATCACACGTCCACCGTTCCCGGTGCCGGTAGCATCATCATCGTCATCGGCGTCCGCCGCACCCACGTCGGAGTCGGAGTCCACATCGGAGTCCACGTCGGAGCCTACGCGAGCCACGAGGATCCGCGGCGCATCGCCGTGGTCGCGGAGGTGATGCAGGGCGTCGTTCGCGAGGTGATTGTGGAGGTCGGCGAGGGAGGCGGGCGTGGGGAATTGCAAGGGGAGAAGGGGGTTTGAGGACATTGAGGAGATGTGGATGGAGGCGATTTGGGGGGCCTCGGGGGGTGTTGGGGGGGATATTGTGAGGGTTGTCATTGTTGCTGGTGAAGTTGCTCTTTTGGGTTTGGGGTTTGGTCGGTTCGGTTTGGTGAGGTACAGGTGAGGCTATGAGGTCGTTGGTGTGGTGGTGGTGGTGGTGGTGGTGGTGGTGGTGGTGTAAGTCGACTTTAAGCTTGGAGTGAGGTGGGTGAAGGTTGAGTATATATGTGAGATTCGAGAGTGAGAGACGATGGTCGGTCAGTTTGCGGTCATGTGATTTGTTTGTGTCTCTGTGCTATGGAGGTTGCCACGAGTGTTACGCATAAGGTAGGACGTGTTCCTCTGTATATACTGGTTCGTTATTCTTGATGTTGTATCGTGAATCGTTCAGGGATAATGTGAGAAATGAGGCGAGGTTAAACGTGTGAAAGGCTGGAAATGAGTATATGTCGTCGCTTTGTAATTGTCTGGCTGGATAAGGCTACTGTCTTGGATGCCCGCCATTTCAGCTCCTCCCGTTTGATGAGCTGTGCGCTTTTACCCCTTCAAGGCTCTCTACGACATATGTGAATCTATGCCATGTGTCATGAGAGTTGAGAAGCATGAGAACTCGCTTGAGGCGTTTCTGTTCGTTGAAGCTTAATACCTCCCTCCTCACTTCAAGGTTTGTTGGATGAGAATGATGATGATGATGGATGGATGGAAACCATATCCCACGGTTGTTGCTTCTTGTGTTCAATATGAGGCTATCTCATGTGTCGAATCATCTAGCCATGTGAACCAGTGTTACAGCTAAGACATGTTTTGTCGAGGGAGGCTACATCGATCAGGAAGTTCTGCGTACGTGAATGGTAGAGACAAGTTCGATTTCTTCTGCGCTTTCGGGATTCAAGAGTCTGGCTGAGAGAAACAACACAGGAGTAGACATTATTATATATTTACGAAATCTTGGGAGAACTCGTGCAACACCGCTTTGATGTTTTACGTTAACGAGCGATCGCATCAAGAACATTACACATCCTGCTCTAGGCTCACAACCCTTTGCTGTACTGCCGTAGACTTTTCAAAATGGATGAGTAAGTCATCTCGTCTATCTTGTTATTCAGTGTAGAGGCCAGTTCAACAACTTCCGAAACTCCTACTTTGACTGGAATAGTTCTTGCCCATGGCCTTGGTTTGACAACCTTCGGGGTAATGTGGCTCTCACTTGAACCCGTAAAGTCACAAAACCTGGAGGTTGATTGAAATGCATTGCGCCATGGCCAGATGGCTCAAAAGGTTGCTTGATAGGAAAACAATATAATGCCCAAAAACACTCAACCGAACCACTACTCATGACAACATTTCGCTATTGGATCCATTCCTCTGCCACCACTAGAACAACAAAGCAAAAGCCGCATTCGTGTCTCTGCCTACTCAGCCTTCCAATCCTCCGTATACGTCCGCCCATCCGCCCCCATCTTCCCAATAACAGGCTCCAACAATAAAGGCAGCACCTCCGCCGCGTCCCTCCCGAACGCAAAGTCCCCCTTCTTCACCTTGCCCATCTGGCCCTCGTCCTCAGCCTCGGGGTTGACGGTACACACCCGCGCCCCGGCCGCGTGCGCCTTGAGGATGTACCCCGCGGCCGGCCACACCTGCGCCGACGTGCCGACGACAATCATGAGGTCGACTTTCCCTCGCTCGATCCAGGCGTCGACGCCGTCGAGCATGGCCTCGTCGAGGGCCTCGCCGAACCAGACGACGCCGGGCCTCAGCAGGCCCGTCTTGCAGGATGGGCAGTGGGGCAGGTCTGCTTCGTCGATGGCCGGGAGCTTCTTGGAAGGGTCGAGGAGCGGTAGGGTCTGGGTTGGGTCTGCGAGGTCTTCGGAGGCCGGGGCTAGGGCTGGGCAGAGGGGGTCTTGGGTGTTGTTGTGGTCGATGTAGGTGCATTGCGGGTTGGCGCATTTGATGTCAAAGAGGCTACCGTGGAGGAGGCGGAGTTGGTCCTCCTTGTGTCCTGCCCTTGGCGAGAGACCTGCGAGTGACGTTTAGCTGTCGTTGTCTCTTTGCGGGAAATGCCAGGGAGTCGTTCTCACCATCAACATTCTGCGTCAGGCACAAGAAATCCGGGTTCTTCTCCGCCAGCGCGGCGAGGGCATAGTGCGCCTTGTTCGGACTCGCCGATAGAGCCATGTGTCTCCGGTACGCGTAGAACAGCCACACGAGGCCCGGGTCCCGGCGGAATGCATTCATGGTCGCTAGGTCCGTGGCGTCGTGGTTTCGCCAAAGACCGCCGGCGCCGCGGAAGGTCGGCAGGCCGGAGGAGGCGGAGAGGCCCGCGCCGCAGAGAGCGAGAATGCGCTTGCTTGAGGCCAAGGCCTCGTGGAACGCGGCGACGTCGTTGTGGGGGGCCATGACTTTGAACGAGATTGGGCGGCGGTTGGCTGGGTTGGGGAATGTCAGTGGATAATGCCTGGACAATTTGGGTGGATGATTCGAACCAGGTGATTTTAGGAATGGGAATGTTGATAGTCTTGTGGGAGTCCAGTTGATATGTCTAATGTCTATGAGATGTTTTCTCATCATGCTGTTTCGGGGCAGCTTATATCTCGATGCGTTTAGGCAATCTGCTTACCCGTAGGAGGCGTTCGCCATCAGGCACCAAGGCAAAGTAAGGGGACGAGAATGAGCAGCAGGGATCTTTAACCATCCAATCATTCTCTATTTAGTAGCCTAGAGACCGTGAAGACAATAACCTGGCTGTTGAATAAAACCCATTTGGCTTGATGAGAGGGATGTAAGTGATCCAAGTTGGAGTGAAATGGTCGTTGAACGGGGACCTTGCAAGTCATTTCCCCACATGCCAGGATGCTCGGTAACTCCTTCACCGAGGCGGCGTGACATCATCCGTAAACACACCGAAGCTTGCGCACCGTGATATCTCAACTTGTTCAAAAAGTATTTACAAATATCACCCTCGACGACGGAGTTGATGGAATAGCTTCTTTCAGTCTTGAGTTCTCAACGAACACAATCTTTAGGAGCGTAAGCGCTTTGTATCCAGAGAAATCACGAACAAAGGTGAATCAAATCATGAGAAATTTGAAGCTGTCAGCTTCTGAGTTGAGATTTTATCTATCTCTCTATGTCTATAATATAACCAATCGCTATGCCCTTTCTATGCACCCAAGTCATGTCATCAACCTCATCTTATGTACAGCATCTCCAGAAAACGGTTCGATCATGTTCAAAACACACAATCCCTTCCCGCTTAGTTCTGGAGGACGTAGCGGTAACGAGCCTTGCCCTCCTCCAGATCGACGATGGCCTGGTTGGCCTCGCTCATGGGGCGGACCTGGATCCAGGGCTTGACGCCCTTCTCGGCGGCGAGCTCCCACATCTCGCGGATCTCGTGGGGGGATCCAATCAGGGAGCCGGTGAACTTGACGCGGCGCATGACCATGGGGACGGGGGAGATGGTGTAGGCGCCGTCGTCAGGGAGACCGACCTGGACGAGGGAGCCGTCGAGCTTGACGAGGTTGAGGAAGTCCTGCATGGGGACCTTGGCGGAGGAGACGGTGGAGATGACAATGTCAAAGGAGTTGGCGTAGGTCTTGGCCCAGTCGGGCTCCTCGCTGGTGGCGATGTAGCCGTCGGCGCCCATCTTGAGGACCTCGTCGCGCTTGTCGCCCTTGCGGGAGATACCGACGACCTTGTCGGCGCCCATGGCCTTGGCGAGCATGATGGCCATATGGCCGAGGCCACCGACGCCGTTGATGGCGACGGTCTTGCCGGGGCCGGCGCCGTGCTGCTTAAGCGGGGAGAAGACGGTCACACCACCGCACAGCATGGGCGCGGCGTAGGCGGACTCGAGGCCGTCGGGGATCTTGACGACAAAGTGGGAGGGGCAGCGGTGGTACTTTGAGTGACCGCCCATGGCCTTGCCGCCGTTGTAGTGGAAGTGGCCGTAGGTGTGGACGGACTTGGGGCAGTACTGCTCGTTCTTGGTCTCGCAGGGCTCGCAGGGGCCCTGGCGGCCGAGGCAGGAGTCGGACTGGGCGCCGACACCGACGCGGTCGCCGACCATGATGCCGCCGACGGCCTTGGAGCCGACGCGGACGGCGACACCGACGATCTCGTGGCCGACGCAGACGGGGTAGGGGGCGGGGCCCCAGCCGGAGCGCAGGACGTGGATGTCGGAGCCGCAGACACCGGAGTGGGTGATCTGGATGTCGACATCGTTCTCCTCCCACGGCTTGGGCTCGTATTCTTGCCAGACCATGTTGCCCTCGGAGGACTTCTCGTCGAGGCCAACCCAGCCCTCAAACTTGTAGTCGGTAGCGGCCATTGTGATTTATGTGTGGTGTGAAAGATAGGATAGAGAAGGGGTATCTGGAGGCCAGTTGTTCTTGGTTTATTATAAGAGAAATGGTCTTATGTATAAGAAAACAGGAAGCTTGTGAGTACAGAGTGGAATGATATCGTCGGAAGGCGGGAACGACACGCCTCTTTTAAACCTTTAGCTCCCCATCTTGTAAACTCACTTAAGTCCTAAACTCATCGGCGAAAGAGGGGACTAACGCCGCCGGTCGTCCAAGGAACCATGAAGCTGGAAAGCCTGGATAACGAATTTTGCGCAAAAAAATCACAGCAAGTACTACGTGTTAGAGGGCAGAGGAGAAAAAACTGCAACATGGGTGGAGTCAAACAGCGGGAACGGACTGGGAATAGATTGGAAACTAGATGGACCTAAGTGCGGCTCGGTGCCGCGGTTCGAGATCGATGGAGCAAGGACCAAGGGGGAGTGAAAAGAAGGACCCCGTTGACTGACACTCTGTTGATGCACAAAAGGCCAGAGGTAGAGAGGCGCAGAGACGCAGAGACGCCGTTTGAACAATTTGGAAGAGGGGTGGGCCAGTGGTGGTGCGGAACCTTTCCAGCACGGAATGTCAAAGAAGGTCGATATGCGTCGTCATGATTCGCCGGGCCGATATGGGGGCCTGGGCCGGCCGAGGTGGGTAACTCTGGAAATCTGGCTTAGAAATCTTGGAGGTTGTTGTGCTTTTGCCTTCTATCTGCGCGGATACACATTACACTATCAAGAATCACCGGGGGCCCCTGGCAATGGATGCTTGGTTTGGACGGTATTGAATGACGGCAACAGAGCCAACGGCTTCTCTCATTATCTGCAATTCCGTTTAGATCCTGTATCTCTCGCTCTCTAGGTGGCGGTTGAGCTTTACCCGGCACGTCCTTACTCCTTACAGCTCGAGATATTGCTGTTGAAGAAGGGTGGGGTTCGGGCTCTCTCTCTCCGCTGTTCAAAACTTCAACATGTCAACACACGAAGAACTAGAGACATGTAGATGCGGCGGCAAGATGGGGAGCTACCCCTTCAAAGAACGAATGGATAACGAAGGAAGGCATGTGTCCACTATCCAATCAGTGAGCACAGGGATTCTCTTGGCCGCCGTTCCCGAGTAAAGGTGGTGTTTTGATGTCATCGACTCCAGTATTTTCCGGCACTTGGGTGGCTTCACACCGTAACTGAGGGGCGGGACTGAGAGAGAGCGAGAAAAATTGGAGTTCGGGTCTCTCTGGTGTTTGAGACAACTCTGAAAGGGGATTTGCACGAAAAAAGCTTTCCTGGGTTTCTTCACCACGTTCCCCATCCCCTCCTACATAGTTCATCCCGGATAGCCCATCCCCTGTTTCCAAGGCCACGGGGAAACCAACTTGGCAGCCAACGCGATTGAATGAATCGTTCAGCCTCACCTCATTGATCTCATTGATGACTGAGCTCCAATTTGGGATTTGAAGAGATTTTGTGGCCCCTTCGAAAGCCTTGCCCTTACGTCAACTGCGGATTCTTCCCGTTGGGCGGCGGTTGACCGGCCTTCGCCGTTCTCGGTTTCTTCTGTCAAAGCTTCTAGAAAACGTGCATTTTTATGGAGAAATCACAAAGTCTGCCGCGCAGGGGCCATCGGCACGTCACCGATGACCCGCCCGCTGCCCGCGGTTCAGTCCAACTTTGTTGCTGTGGTCGTTGTGTGAATCGATCTTCAAGCTTTCTCTTATCTTTGCCCAGGAGGATATTGATCATCCGACGATGAGGTAGCTCGGAATTCTAAATGCCAATCTGTCTACTACCGCCACGCTAGTTGGCTGCCATTGTTAAGATTGAATGGGAGCTGAAAGTCTGATAACTACCGGTGCGAGGACGGAGAGCTTTACCTCACCGACAAAGATACCGGTAGAACCTACTCCGTTACTAGACATGCCGTGAACGTGGCCCGGCAAGGGTCCCTTCCGGACCACGGAATTACAGAGGCAATCGTACTCCGTATCCGTACAGCTGGCAGGCCGCAGGATGGAACTCTGCTTAGTACGCAGCCGGACTTATCTCGTAGACTTCTATTTCCCAAAAAGACCTCAAAACACACATGTGGAAACAATTTGACTCCGATTTCATGCATCCTGCTCAAGGCTGCAACACACCGTACCTTTGACCTTGTCTTTTCATAGCAGTGCCCCCTTTGATTTGATTATCTTGTGTTCCGCCCTTGCCGCATCATGCATACCCATCTACGAAGGCGACTACCGGGATCCCACTACACCTTTCCTGCCCCTTTGAGTCCCCAACTATTCATACTTACAATCCCCGGGCCCAATCTTAAGTCGAGGAATCGAATGATTACACAAACGACGATGCAGATGCCCGAAAAGCCCCCCCTATCTCCGAGCCGCTGCCAGATCCCGCGTCTCCCGTTCGGGGAGATATCTGAAGCAGGGTACTGTACAAGAAGGTTGATCCCGTGTTCTAGATGCGGGAGCCGTGGAGTTGTGTTTGCTTCCCAGGAGGGGGGGGGGTTGTTGGTGAGGGTTTATTCAATCACCGCATATCTTCGCCGCGGAACTTCGGAACACTCTCGGAACCCCCCCCCCCCTCTGCCCCATGGTTGTCTACATTTGCTGAAATCGAATTGCCGTCCGCACTTCACTCTTATAAGATAGTTTTCGTGTATGGGAGAACAAAAGGCTTAATTCAGAATATCGTGAGGTAAGATACGTGCAAGTATGTGCACGAAAACAATCACGAAAACCACGTGGGACTTCCACCTTGCCAGAATTCGCTGGCGGCTTTTGTGTACATCTCAAACCCGTCAGAAGGGGACCGGCGCCGCGATCGCCGGTGGTGACGTCCGCGCCGGGCCCATTGCTTGATTTTCCTGGTGGCAGCAGCCATGCAAGATCCGCATGGTAGAGGGCCGATCGGCGCGGCAGGTCCGAAATGTCGCGCCCGAAAGCCCTTCGCGAGTAAGTTCTTTTCTTGCCACCGAAACCCGATGAGCCGGCTACGTCTCGCTTCCAACGGCGGACCGGTGCTAGCCCAGCCCGATATCGACATCATTGTGCGCCGTACCTGCATATTTCAGAATAGCCTGCGTGCTGCGATGCCGCGTTCTTAGGCCATGCACACATCAATACCGCCTCGGAGGCGAAAGGCCCCACAATGCCGGTAGACTTCCATGATTCCGGGAGCAGGAACGGAGAAAGGAGCCGGGTGAAGCGGGGGTGGGTGCCTACCACCTTCCGCTGCCGAAGGGCAGGAAGCTACTTAAGCCTCCAACCGGAAGGCACCAATGGGGCCATCCCGGATGAACAATCACTCCTTCCCTCCTTTCATCCTGCCGGCTTCATCAAGCGTGGCAGGCCTGGTTCCATGCAAATCCAGCTGCCGATGCCATGGTGGAAGAGGTGAGAACATTCTCGCTTCGTTACGCCTTGTTCAAAACTCTCTTCACAGCTTCAATGCCTTGAGGGCAATCGATTTTTGATTTTTTTTTGGAAAAGGCGAGGTGAAAAAGTCGGGCCCTCGGCCCAGGTAGGTAGGCAGCTAGAATAGTTGTGTACCGACTCTGAGAGATGCATCGCCCAGTCACCAAAATTACTAGGCACGAAAATGCACCAACAAGGGAAGCTACTCGCTACCTAGGTATGGCTTCGCTTCTGGTTTTCCCTGGATAAATAGTCGCACTTTTGGTCTCTACGAGGATTCGACCTACAACCTTCGCTCCGGGCATCTTCCGCTCCCTCGCCTGTTGGGCCAACCGTCACCGTGTCTCACCCGGCGGTTCAATATTAAAGGAAGCTCCGGGGCAGTCTCCGCCTCTCCTCGCCGAGTCAATAGAACATTTGCCAATACACGTACCGAGGAACAAGGGCCCTGGAGCAAATCACTGCCGTCCGGCGTCAAACCCTCTTCCCCCATCCAGGCTTCAGCGAGCCTGGACAAAACGGGACTTTTGTTTTGATTGGGCGGTTCGGACGGCATGGTCCTCAGCCTGGACTCTGGCGTGTCTGGGTCCCTGGGAAGTGGTAGACAGGCATTCAGAAATGGATACAGCAAAGGTCATCAGCCATGCTATGCCATGCCATGCTATGATGATATTGATACGGAGCATCGACTTCGTGAATAACGATCAGTCTTCCGCTCAGGAAACCCGTGCGTCTCAGTGCTATTGTATCGATACACACTAAACACAATAAATGGCGGTGGACGGAAGAAGGAAATATCACAACATCAACTCTAACAGCGCGTAAGGATGCCTCACGGATCTTACAATTCCCGCAGGACTTCAGTTGAAAAAAAGCCACTAAAACCGGGCGACTAGCCAAGAAAAATGTCATGGAATAATCGAGACAATTGTGCCGCAGGGCGATGCGCAATAACATTAATACCGGACTCAAGAGACGATCGCCTACCAAGATCCTTGGGCCCAAGCAAGTTTGATTAACGAAAACCCCTCCAAGACTCGATCAAGTCTCACGTACCTAAATCCTGCGACGCTCCTGCGCGGTACTTATCCCATTTCCTTTCCTCTCCCCCCCCCCTCAAAAAGAAAAACAAAATCCTTTCCTTGGCTCCAACGGTGCCCGTCACGCTAGAATCACATCAGACGCGCAGAGACACTTTAGGCTACCCGTGCGGCACCGACGGCGCCCTATCTTGGGCACAATGCCTCACTACTGTCTGTGCAAGTACTCGACTTTCCATAAGAAATCTCCTTGCTTTGGTTGTGCTTGGGTCTCACACTTAGTGAGGGCGGCAATGGTGCACAGGTGGAAATTAGGTACCGAATAAGGTAGAGCGCGGTAATGGATCCGATTTCTGGGATCCATCATCCCCCGGCCCCCCTCTCCTCTTTGAGTCAAAATTCTTATTCAGGTGGGGGACCCTGCCGGGGTTGCTCAACTTCAAACACAGTGAGATTGCAACCGCGGTGTTTTTCTCTTGGTTGACCAATTCGCGCCATCCAGGCATCCACGCCCTATGATTTTCACGCGAGTCTAAAATTCCGATATTGTGAGATCTGCGTGAACCGAAAGCCACGGGAGGAAGTATTCAAATCTGAATGTTTTTGATTGTCAACATTTTATCTCTCTCGACTACCTCGGCGAAATGGCACAAGGCGTCCTCTTCAACTCTTCTCTAAAGGTATCATAGTCCATCTCCCACAAACACTACCCAGCTGCTTCAAGAAAAAAAGAGCATCCGCCATCTGAAATGCAATTCCCGTTGTCTGACTTTCCTCCTCTCGCGTAAAATATTGGCAAGGCCGTTGCGGAAATGCTTCCTCCAGTTCATGGAGACAGAATTCCGCGGGAGAGCGTGATCATTAAAAGTACCGGATTATGTCGCAAGGTATGGCCCCAACTGCGCGCTAGGTCCGTAAAGGAACATGCGTAACTCAGTCGTGATAAGCATCGTGATCGAAAGTGAAGAAGTTGTACAATCCGCTCTCCGGGCGGCATGATTTTTTTTTGTGGTTGTCTTTATGCGCATGTACGGTCGTTCAAGAGTTCCGGTGGACCCGCTTACAGCAGGAAGGTGAAGAAGAGGCCGGCGGCACCGAGAGCAAGGTTGGCCTTGTTCATGAAGCCGGAGTTGGCGGCAACGGTGGAGGGGGTGCTGGAGGCGCCGGCAGCGGTGCCGGTGGAAGAAGCGCTGGAAGAGCCGGAGCTGGAGCCAGTGGCGGTAGAGGCAGCGTCCTCGGTAGCTGAGGCCTCGCTGGAAGCGGTAGCGGAAGCAGAGCCGGAGGCAGTGACGGTGCTCAGGGTGGTCTTGGAGTCGGTCTTAGTGGCGGCCTTGGAGGCGGAGGAAGAGCTGTCGTCGCTGCCGCCCTCAGTCTTGACGACGATGGACTCCCAGCTGCCGGAACGGTCACCGTAGACGTACTCCTTGGCGCCCTTGACACCCTTGTTGCCCTGGTAGTCGGTGATGGTGATGGACTTGTAGTAGGCGTTGTAGGGAGCCTTGGAGAAGTCGGTGTAGCCGCCAGCCCACTCGACGGTGCCCTTGGGGGCGTCCTTGCGGCCGGCAACCCAGGTTCCGATCTTGACCTCCATGGGAGTCTGGGGGAACATGGCGCCACCCTTGGCGTCGGCGTACTTCAGCTCACGAACCAGAGCACCGTCGATGATCCACTTGACGGACTCCTGGGTCCAGTCGATGGTGTAGGTGTGGTAGTCGTTGAGGGGGTTGGAGACGGGGTGGTAGGCACCACGGTCGTAGGTGCTGGTGTCACCCTTACCGAAGTAGTTGGTCTGGACCTGCTCGTTGTCACCGCCAACCCACTCCCAATCAATCTCGTCGAGGTCGTCGGACTGAAGAACGACGGAGGTGACGACACCCTGGCCGGGAGAGGCCTTGAGGACGACGTCAATCTTGCCGAAGAAGATGTACTTCTTGGAGGCCATGGTAGGAGCATCGGTCTCCTTGTTGATGGCGAAGAGAGCACCGCCATCCTCGAACTTCACGGCAGTGCCGTCAAGCTTGCGGAAGACGGAGTCATCGTTGCCCTTGGTGAAGTCGATGCTGACCGACTTGCCCAGAGCAGGGTCGGCGGGGCAGTCTGAATATCAGTTAGCAAAACTGTTTTACGAGAAAAACAAAACGGTAGTTCAAACAACCAGTCACGGAAAAAACATACCCTTCTTGGTAGGATCGCAGGTGGTGAAGGTCTGGGCAGAGACCATGGTGGAAGCGGCGAGAGCCACGGTGGCAGCAGAGAAGATCTTGGAGAACATTTTGCCGGTGATTCGTATACGTCGATCGAGGGAAGAAGCGAGTAGCGAGTTCGATGAGAAAAGGTTCGAAGGTGACGAGATATTTATCAGAGGCTGCTGACAAGTATTAAAGGAGCTGGAAGCTGGAAAGTGGCTTGAGGGGCAGTGAGAGTGTGGAAATAATGAAAAGCTATGCCGATTAACGAGAGACTGGCAGGTGAGCTAAGAAAAGGCAAGAGGTAGAAGCTCGTGGGGAAGCAAAATAAGAGGAGGTGAGGAACGAGGTTGAGGGATAGAAACACACGAACGGGGAGGATGGTTTTATTACTTGGACTCGACGAGATGAGGCACAGCAGTGCCTAGCAGGGCCAACTAGGCAGAACATGAGCAACCACACCAACAACAGGTACCAAGACCAAGTATCTGTGGTACCCAAGCACTAAGCACCGGTGACCATGGACAGACCAGGGCAAAGGTGCGCCATGGCTCGTTCTCTCTTGTCTTGGTGACTTGGTCCCTGGGCTGGATGGGACGGGGGTGGGATGTGGCTCGCTGGGCCATGGCCCACGCTCCACGAGCTGGGCGAATCAATACGACCTCGTACCTTATTCAGGACCCTGCACTTGCCTAGTGTCCTGGGAAGGGGGGTGAAGGGGTGGTCATCGGCCAAGCCTTGACTCTTGAGCCTGAACCATCGACACCCCTGGTCCCTTAGCTCTTGAAGGAAAGGTCAGAGTGACTGGGGGTGATGGGGCCGTTCGCTATTGTTGTCAAAGGACAACTTGTTTGGGTGTGTGTGCGCATAATTGTCAGCACCACCGTATGGGGAGCTGCAACTTGTGACTGGTGATTTGTGAGTGGTGGCATGACCAGAGGGAAGAACATCTCTAGAGAACAGCGAGCAACTGAGGACTGAAGATCCATGGGGTGAAAATTCAAGGTGGACTTGAACTGGGAACGTCAGTGGGCTGCTGTTGCTTGTTCCCAAAGTCCCTCCCACAAGCAAAGGGTTAATTTGCACTTGCATAGATGACCCAATGAAAGAAGACGGATTCAATGACTTTGCCCGAAGAAGAAAGGCAGCGGGAGAAGTGGCACTGCTTTCTTTTTCCGTCCGGGGTCTCCTTTCCGTAAGGCAGAGGAGGAGAGATTGAGAGAGATTGACTCCTAGAGTCTATTCCGGGTGGAAGGCATCGCCTACCAGCAGGAGTCTGGTCATGGTAGAGTTGATAGAAGTCGGAGGATTGCGGCAGAGAGAGAGAGAGAGAGATAGAGAGAGAGATGTGTCCAAGGATTCGTAGAGCAGCTGCCATCCGTTCCTGAGGGATGAGCAGGCTGCAGGAGAGACACACACACCACTTGGGAAGTTGGGACGGCACTCTGCCACTCCCAGGTCAATGGAAGCGACGGGCCATGGATGTATCTCGGTACGTACCTGATCTCAAATCTGACTAAGAAGTACGTGCAAAATGTACGTATACTGTACGGAGCCAACGAGGGATATCTCTCGTACGGATACGGTCCATCCATACGGATACATCATTGCGGACCATGGCCCACGGTCAATCAAGCATAATTTCCTGGCAAAGGCCACTTAGGACGTCGGATGATCAGCAATGATTGACATGGAACACGAAGAAACACCTCGCTACGCTTCGTGATGAAGCGCGCGGAATTCCGCCAGACAGATCAGAGTCCATCATACTCGCCTCAACACTCAGCACCTCGCCTGTCACTACCACGGCCATGAGTGAGTGACGTTGCGTTGCACATCGTGTTTGCCGCCGGCTTCCTCGACTCGACCGGGCCGTTTCCAGCGCATTCCAAAGAGCTGCTGCCACGAGGCGAATCATTCCCGGGGATGACTTGGAGGCAACATCCAGCCATGGGTCAGCCAGCCTGCCTTAGCTTCCTGCTGTCACTCAGTCGCCCACCTGGTTTGTTTCCTCGCGCCAGCATTCCAAGAGGGCACATGGCGCCGGGCCCGCTAGCAGACAAAAGTTGTACCGTTGTTGTTCGACAAGCTGCTGGTCAACCAAGATCGAGAAGGATTGCTTCCTCGCCTTTCCAGGGAAGCCGAACAAGTTCACCTCGTTGGTCGACGTGTCTTATCGAGTACCAAGCCAGGAGGGCAACCAATTTCATGCTTCCTTCGCCTGACAAAATAAGGGGCACTGCAGTCTATGTTCACTGCAGGGGGCTCCAAGACCCAGACACTGGGGCACAAATGGACAGTCACTGCAGCCTGCCGCCATCGTACGTCCACCTGATGGCCAGTGCATGCAACAACTCAGCAGGTGAAGCAGCGGTGATCCCTGCGGCGCATCCGTGAGCCGGTCCGTATCGTCTTCTCTCAAAATTTTGACTCTCTCAGTGACGGACTGGCGGTCTCCAACTTCGGTCGAACCCCCGCGCCCGACTCGACTCGACTCAGCAACCCGACTTGTTCTGGTCAACCACAATACCACAGCAAGACAAGAATAATCTCGGGGCCCCGTTGCCCGACGATGGCGCCGTGTTTGGCCGTGAGCTTCCCGCTGCGAGGCTAAACTCTCGCTCGTCCAGTGGGAGATCCCCCTCCTCCAAAACCTAGCGCACCTTAACTTGGCACCGCAGCATACACAGTATTGTCAGACCTTGGCACTCTAGGAGTCCAGGTATTTCCTGCTTGCATGCGTTGCTTGCGAGGAACCCTGCCGACACTGGATGTCACACCAAGTCCCTGCATCTACACCTCGCGATGAGGCCATTCGTCGTGCGCCTGCTGCGTAGGTCACAAAGTGCGCGCGCGCACAATGAAGGAGTAAGCAATGCTGCGCCCAGCAATGCAGGAGCAGATGTGTTCTCTCAGTGGCTTTGAGAGACTCGCAATCATCTGTTAAGTCCAGCCCGTCTCTGAATTTTTGGGTTGTCCTTCGTGCTCATTTCGAGGCTACCAATGATTAATCTTCCAGATTCACAAAGTCCTCATCCCACCTCCTGAGATATACCGAGTCCCGCGGCCACCGTCGGCCAACCACGACCGCTCGATCTCCAGAATCCAGTAGCAAACTGTTGCAACGCCCCGTTTATCTTACGGAGTCCATAAATCTAGCGCTCCAAGAACCAAGCCACATTGCCAGTTCTGACCTATCGCGAACCGGAACTTGCTGTCCAGAGGTTGAAACAGGAGTTATCCTTCCAGTAATCCCTTGGTTTCTTCTTCTTGTGGTTTGCGAAGCTCCGAACTGACTTCAGAAGTTCAGCCCGACGGTTCGAAACAAAGGGCGGCCCGGGGGGACAGGAGTTTCTTTGCCCTGTCACAGTGCAGCCCGCCCCTTTTCCCACCGTCAGTTCTAATACCAATCCGTTTGATACAGGTACTCTCAGTCTCATTTCATCTCTCAGAGATCTCATGGTCTTGTCATTCGCCGACTAACAGCTTCCCCCTTGTCCCTCCACCACCGGCGCGAGTGCTCTTCTTGTGAGGTAAGGGCAAATTCAAATTTCTCTTAGCCACTTCAGAAGTTCAGACTGCGTGCCGATGCCCCGAAAATACTCCAGAGATCTTCATAATTCTCCGCTGTACGGCCAGGGGCCAAGACCAACACGGGGCTACCGCTCATCACGCGCCATTTCACAACACGAAAGAAGGGTGAAGAGGCCGACCCTGGTCACCAAAAAAAGGCTTTGCCATTCAACTTTGGCCTCGGTACTGGGCCAAAGGGAAGCGACGATGAGTCGAGGCAAGCGCGCTGCCGCAGACAAACAGAAGATACGGCCGCCCCGTGCCACAGCCGCCGCAACGTTCCATAGCCCCGAGTCGTCTGATCGGCTTGTTCTGGCAGCGTGCAGCCGTTGACTGAACGGCGGCTCGGGGTATCCCGGACTCTTCCACGTTCTACGCGTTGTGCAGCGGCCTACCTTCGTGGGCAGTGGGCACTCGTATCCAGCCGGTCGGGTTGCCTCAAACCATCCTCCCAGGCTGTCAGGCGGTGGCTGTGCGAGCCAACATCGACAATAGGCTGTGGTCTCTGCTCGTCAACCTGGCATTGAACCGCATCTCAGCCCTTTCGATAGACAAGTCTCTTGCTCCGAATCCACATAACACCGTTTGGTCATCGCTGTAAATCCTTCCAGCCTGCTGGTGGAATCGAAAGGAGCTCGGGCTTCCCCTTGCTTAGAACGCAGCAAGAAAGGTTGATCTTGGGTTCGAAACGCCACTGAGCCCACGTCCTTTTACATTCTCCATCGTATCGACTGGGGCACTGTCTTGCCAGACATTTGTGATGCTGGTCTCCTTGAAGACTTTCCAGGGCTTGCCTTTGGAAATTCGCTTATTGACATGAAGAGCTATGTGCAGTTTGATGGTTCTCCATATTGTGCATGGAAGAGGCGCAGGGCTTGCAGCAAAGGCTTGCAGACAATGCTGTCAGGTAGGTTGACAGGTATCACAGCATACAGAAGCAGAAGGGTTGAAGTTTAGTTCCCGGGTTCCAACCGCAAACTCGCTTCTGTACGACCAGTAGCCCCTCGCCACGCATGTACCTTGTCCGATGACATATCTAAGCCGATCCTGCAAGATCCAGCTCTACAAGCCTCGAGAACCAGCTTCCACGACTACCGGCATCGAAAAGTAACCCAAAATAAACACCCTTCAGACCTAAAGCATCACATCCATTATCCCGGAACAAAGCCTGGCAGGCTGGCACAACGGGCCAACATTCCCAAAGAAACACCCAGGCGGCCCCCTGAAGAAACGAGTTAAAGGCGCGCCACTAGCGCCAGTAGCATCTCTAAATTTAACTCCACGAAGAACCCGAGCCCGTCGCCCCATCCCGTCTCCACAGTCACACCCCCCAGTAACAGTTGTCGCCGCTGCGCGCCCGTCTCTGAAGATGGAAAAGTGCTTCATCAAGCGTACCATGCTGGTATGGAGCATCTGCCACCCCTTCGCTAATCTTGACCGAAACCTCGTAAAAGTTGTCTATCTGCGGGAACGACTCTGTCAATTGCCCACAGGTTCGCATACTGAAAAAGTC